GGTGAGGCTGTGTTAGGATGTTTTTTGCTCTTGCTATTTATTTAACCCCTTAGAGAGGGAGAGTTTCGTGGGGTGGAAGGGACAGAGAGAGAGGCAGGGGGCAGAGAATGGGTGTCGCGTTGTGTGTTGGTTTTCTTTTTTTTGCTAGGAAGCAAATAGTTGACATCCTGAAAGAGGGGGTTACCAAGTCCCTCCATGTATTTTGCGTGTCCATTTCTCGAAGCATTTGGGAGCTGGGAGGGTGTGTCCCTAGTCACCAGGCTGGTCTGTTCTCCTGGAGATTGGGGTGTGTATGTGCGGAGGCTGTGGGAGCCCGGATGCTCTATGTCTGCCCCAATATAGGGTCCCCACAGCCTTGTCCGGGTCTGCTGACAACTGAGGGGACACGCAGACGCGACACAGGAGACGGGAGTTGGGTATGTGAGCGCCTGTTCAAGACCAGGAGGGTCTAAAACAGGCCTAAACGACAAAGACCGTTTGTAATCACCCAAACTGGAAGGTTGTAAAATGAACCACCTCCACGTGAAAGTCTCCCCACCCCGTCCTGACTGCTCCGTGCTAGAGGGACCAGAGAGGGGCTGCGTTCAGGGCCACATGGCAGCTGCCGCAGTGCCCAAGGTGAGGGGAGACCCCAAAAGCAGGCTCAGGGGAGGTGACAGGTGATGGGGGGCATAGAGGAGAGAGACCAGGGTGCAGTGCTGCTGGGGCAGGCTGGGGGTGACTGGGCAGGGGGCGGGGCACGGAGCTGGGGAGCTGGGGAGCCGGGCACCATCCTAATCGCTGGACACGTGGTTCTCGTTCTGTAGCTGGTGCCAGCGCTCAATCTTCTTGTCTTTGTTCTTCAGACACTCGTACCAGTGTTTCAAGCGCTCTCCCTTGGCCGAGATCCCCAGCTGGCAGCCTCCTGGGTGACAAGGGCAGATAGGGATAGGGGGTCAGAGCGGAGGGACACATGGGACTCTCGTTCTGGACCCAAATGTCTAGTTGTGGGAAAATTGCCACTGAGCAGTGACTCCGCTCCAGCGTCCTGGGACCCGTTCTCTAGAGGGGGTGGTTGTTATGGTGTTTTTATTACCATTGGCCTTCTCTGCCTCCAGGCTACCTACTCAAGAACCTGCTGTGGCTCCCTATTGTGTTTTTTAAGGCCTTCTACAAATCACCACCCACCCATGGAAACTTACCTCCCACTACTTTTAGAAACTCATAATCTATTTCCGAAGACTTACTTCCATCACCCCGCTCAATCCTGTCTCCACACTTGCACTCGGGTTGTGTCCCTGGCCTGGAGTTCCTTCCCCTCTCCATCTTTAATGACTGTTGTTCCTCAGTGTTTGGAAGGGAACTAGGAAAATTAGAACCTTCACCCTGGACTTGCAGATAGATGAAGGAGACATCCTTTGCACCCTGTTTTCTGCAGAGCCACAGACCCCACGCTCCTGTGATTTAATTCTTCCACTGGAGGTGATCTGCTCAGCAGAGAGCCAATCAAAGCTCAGTGGTTAGAGCATCGGCCCGCACACCGAAGGGCTGCAGGTTCGATTTGCGGTCAAGGGCACGTACCTGGGTTGCAGGCTCGATTCCTGGCCCTGGTCAGGGTGTGTGCAGGAGGCAACCAATCGATGTCTCTCACATCGATGTTTCCCTCTTTCTCTCTCCCTTCCACTCTCTCTGATAATCAATGGAAACAATATCCTCAATTAACAAAAAACAACAAAAAAGAGAACCCGTCATGATCTGATCTTCCTGACTTTGTAAGCCCTCTCCTCTAAAGGCGTTCTCAAATTGGACCCAAATCGGGACCATGGTTCTGATTCTGTTTCGGTGATGTGGTTGCCAAAAGAAAAGAAAGACCCTCACCCCCCGCAGCCCTGGGGGAGGCTCTCCTCTCCTGGGCGGACAGAGGGCCGGTTTTCTCTGGGAGCCAGGAGCACTCACCGATGTAATCGTTGGACTTGCCGATGTCATAGTCCCAGACCGAGATGTCCAGTGACTTCTTCGCCAGGTCGCTATGTTTGATGTCATAGAAGAACTCCTGGATGCAAGAGAGGAGGGCATGTGAGTGAGAGGGTCCCCCGAGCCCTTGGCATTTAGAACTAAGAGGCCAAGTCCTTGGGGTTCATGGACCAAGGGGAGGCCCTTGAAATAGGCATTTGGGGAGCAAGGGATTCCTTCTAGATCGTGAGTTTGAAAGGGCTTGATTGTGGTGCTAAGGCATTAGGGAGCCATTGTTGGTTTAAGCGAGGAGGTGACAAATTTACATTCGTGTTTTAGAAAGCTCATGCTTATGTGGAGGATGGGCCAAGCGCAGGGAGGTGAGTCAGGAGTCTACTGCAATAGTCCAAGCGTGAAATGCCAGCGTCTAAGCCAAGGCAGCAACAGTGAGAAGACAGAGGAAGGGACGCACTCAGTGGGTATCTAGACAGTGGCTTTCACAAGACTTCATGCGCTGGGTGGATGTGGGGGCAGAGGGAGAGGGCAACACCAACTGGGTGGATGATAAAGGACATAACTGTCCCTATTTGTTTCCTCAAATTTCAGTATTATAGGCTGCTAGAATTGGTGAAGATATTGGAGATGATTTAATTCAGTCTCTCTTCAAACTCAGCTTCCTGCCTAGGACATTCCTAATTGATAGGTTATTGTTTTAGGCTTGATTCCCTCCAGTGACAAGAAACTCATTACCTCTCCTTGAGATCATTCAAGCTGATCTCTGAGGGAAAGCATTTTTTTATGTGCCTGATGACATTCTGGGAGGGGGTTGTCCTTCTCTCACACAGTGAATATTCCACAGTGTGACAGACACAGGGCAGTCTTACCTCATTAAACTCAGGATTCAAGGTTTTCTTCTTAATTTGAGTCTTGTGTTTGGCCTTCTTCCCCATGTCTGGTTTTAGCCAGCTGACAGGAGACACGAGAAGCCGTTATGGGCGAAGTTCAATGAATAAGAACAGCCCCGCGGTAACCCAAAGGCCCCTTCTGGCGTCAGGAGGAGAAGTGATGAGCACACCAGAAAGTGAGTCAACATTAACGATGACCAGCGTGCATTAAGGGAATTTACTTCTTTTAAAATCCTCACCCGAGGATATTTTTTCCATTGCTTTTCAGAGAGAGTGGGAGAGACAGAGAGAGAAACATCGATGTGAAAGAGACACATCGATTGGCTGCCTCCCGCACACAGGACCCGGGATCAAGCCTGCAACCGAGGTTCGTGTCCTTGACCAGAAGTGAACCCAAGACTTTTCTGTCCACAGGCCGAGGCTCTAACCACTGAGCCAAACCAGCCAGGGCGGTAGGACTTGGGGCTAACAGCTCTCCACCTCCCCCAGCTCTCCCTACCTTCCCTCACACAGCATTTCCCTTAATGAAATCCTTGTCTGTTTAATCCCACGGTGGCATTTTGTCACGTTTGTCTTAACGCCGATGACAAAGTCTCTCTTATTTCCGTGAGCAAAGTGACTGGAATAACCCCAAAGTCTAAGGTCCCTCTTTTGGAGCATTCCCAGACTGAATCTGGAAAAGGCCAGATCGCTTTGCTGGTGGTGGGGCTCTGGGCGGCTAGAGGTGTGTGTTGCTAATTCTGGGGGGCTACACATGGGGTTACTGCGACCTTGCCGATTGCAACTCTCTCCCACGAGGGGACAGAGCCACACACTTCTCATATGGGCGGGTGACACACCAGTCTGACTGCCCGAGACTCCAGCCTCACATTCTAGCCGGTTCAGGTCACCTGTCTCACTGTGTGACCTTGGGCAGGTTCATTTCCCTTTCTGGGCCTCAATGGACAATGATCTTGGGGAAGCTCTCTGGTTGCCCCTGTGCAAGGATCTAGAACCCTCTCTGGGGCCCGCTCACAGTCCCGCGGCATTGACTCACAGCTTGACGAATGGATCCGAGTAGCCGTTGGCATCCATGGCGGCCAGGTGCACGCAGCGTATGATGCCCACGATGAGCCCCCCTTGCTGCGTGCTGTACATGAGGGACACCAGGATCTTGCCGCGTTCCTCTATGTCCCCAATGCGCTCCACCTGCTGCGATAGGAGAAGTCGCGTGTGAGCCGGGAGGGGGGCCGTCAGCACCATGGACAGCAGGCGCCCAGCTGTGGCCAAAGCCCAGGGGGCCCGGCTGAGGCACAGGAGGCGGGTGGTTTTCCTTCAACCTGGACACGGGCTACGCCCTGAGTCTGGTCATGGGTTGAGTTTGATCCTGGTCAGTGACTGGCCCCACTGTGACCCAGGACTGATCCTTGACCCTGGCCCTAGCCTGATCCCCGACTGAGTTCAGACTCCCCTGATACAAGCAGACTTCTCGCAGGGAGTGCTAGGCTGAGGGCCTGGGCATGTGGCTCAACCCCAGCCGTGGGCAGACCCAGAGCTCGAAGGGCCTCCGGTCCGTCCCTGATGGAGGGAGGGTGGCAGTGATCCAGTCCTTCAGCATCCCCAGCAGGGCCTCTGCCAACAAGGCCGAGGAACTCAAGGGTGTCCCTGCGGGAGAGGATGGGGCTTCCCCCACCTCGGGCTCCAGGCGTGAAGAGCACTCACCTGGTCTCATGTCCTAAGGCCTTGGGCAAGGGCGGCTCTCATGGGAACCCACAGGCAGGAGGGTTTGGGAGAAAGAGTAGGGATGGGGCCAGGGAGGGAAAGAAAAGGGAGATGCCAGCCTCGGACTGCGGCTTCAATACCCACTCAGCGCTCACCTCCTCCTCATACAGGGCCATGCCTCGGGCGGAGCCGGTGGTCCCGGCACGCTTCATCTGGGAAGGAAGCAGAAAGGAAAGACAGCATTGTCTATGCGGCTCACCTCCCTACACGGCAAGGACCAGACGCCTCTCCCCGCTCCATTAGCATCCAGAGCTGTGAGGACAGGTCTTCCAAGCTTCTGTGGACCTCCAGCTAAATTTTTAGCTAAAATTTATATAACACTAACCATTTGACAGACCAGGTTAATGCACAATGGCCTATGACGTAGGCTGTGTTAATATCCCCATTTTACAGATGGGGACACCGAGGGTCAGAGTGGTTAAGCCACTTGCCCAAGTCAATAAGTGGCAGAGCACCCCCTGCCTAAAACAGACAGGATTGGATTTGATCTGCTCTGTGTCTTGGGGTCTGGCCACCAGATGCGTCTGCCCCGTGGCTCCTAAGGTCCTTCTGGGGGACTCTAAGGCTCTAGGGAACATCATATGAAAACCACTGGTTAAAGACGAGCTCCCCATTTTAGAGATGAGGAAACCTGAGGTCCAGAGGGAAGGAGGGGACAGCACTTATGTGGGGACAGCATATGGGGGGAGGTGGCAGTGGGAGAACCAAGGACAAAGAGCTAAAGATGATTAGCAGAGGTCTGTGGCCGCTGCAGGCCTGTCGGTCCTGCCACCGCTGTGCATCTGGGGCTGGCTGTGTCCATCACAGCAAGATGGGCAGACCCAGGAGCCGGAGACTCAGGTGGCAGCCTGGCCACTGTCCTGGCCAACTGGTCGCACTGAGTGCAGGAAGGAAGAGGAACCCTGAAGGACCCGCTGTCACCAGGCAGAGGCCTACAGGAAACGCTGCGCTCCGGGGTTGTCTTCGGGGATTTATTTGGAGCCTGGCATTTGGTGTAAATCCTTCCCAGCAACTTCCCTTGCTGCGTCCTGTTCCTTCTCAGGTTGCACACAAACACTGCGCAGCACACGGCTCTTCGGTCCTCGGGCCAGCCATCTGGTGGGAGGCTGCTACAGGATCCCCCTCCCGCCTGCCCGGCTTCCCCGCGGGGAGCTGGCCCTCTGCCCGGGGAGCGGGCGTGCTGGCGGCTGCAGGAGGCCTGGGCTCTGGCCGGCGGGGAGCACAGCCACTGACAAGCCACCTCTCTGGGCCCCAAGTGGCCCATGCATCGGAAAGGGCTGGTTGGATTATCTCTAAAAATACAGATCGCTGGTCCCACCCAACCTCACAAAGTCAGACTCTCAGTTTGTGAAGCTTTGATTTTAAAATCTCGCTCAGCTGGCATGGCTCAGCGGTTAAGCACTGACCCATGAACCAGGAGGTCAGGGTTCGATTCCCAGTCAGGGCACATGCCTGGGTTGCGGGCTCGATCCCCAGTAGGGGGCGTGCAGGTGGCAGCCGATCAATGACTCTCCCTCATCATTGGTGTTTCTGTCTCTCTCCCTCTCCTTTCCTCTCGAAATCAATTTTTTAAAAAAATCTCCAGTTGTTTCTGAGCTATAGTCCACTGGAGGACCTCAAGCTGGTTCTCTTTCTTCCTCAAAAGGCAAATATCACGTCTAACAAGAACAGTTCTTGTGCTTTGTGAGTACTCAAAAGACCCTAGAAGACTAGTGCTCTAACATCCCATTTTACAGATGAGAAAACAAGGCCCAGAGAGGTTCAGTAATCTGGCCCAGCTTATATGACAAGTGGCAGAGCCAGGAGTCAAACCCAGGGACCCTGGCGCCAGAGTCTGTGCTCTCGGGCACTGTGCTATCCAGCCTCCTGCATATCTGCACTGCGCTTTGTGACTTCATGAGTGATAAGTGGGTAAGGAAGTGTTATTCCTATAACAATAGTTAACGATTTATGAGTGCTTACTGTGTTCTAGGTTCTGATTATGTCTTTCACACAAATCTCCCACGAGGCAGGTACTGTTATAATGCCCATTTCCAGACAAGGAAAACTGAGGCTCGGAATAGCTCAGACCCTTGGCCAAGGCCAGGGAGCAGGGGAGAGCAGCAGACCTGGGATTTGAACCCAGGCCGGCCACTCTCTGCCCTCCCATTTCACCGAAGAGGACTCTGACGTTCAGAGAAGTGATGCTAACACAGACTGATAACAGGCAGAGTGGGGACACAACCCTGACGCTCTGACCGGAAGGCTTCACCCTCCCCCCAACAGCGGCCACATCTGTGCTGTCTGGCCCCCTGCAGGCCCAGAGGAGGGCAGCACCCCCAAAACTCTCCTCCCCCATGGAACCCCTGGGAAGAGGCACTCACCGGGATTACCCGCTCGAGACAGATATTGAAGTTTTTCCTTTGGTTGGGCTTTAGCTTCTTGAGCGAGAATCTGGTCTCACCGATGAACTCGTTATGGCCGAATTTGTCTTCATCACAGACCGAGATCCTGCGATCCCCAAAGAGGGGGGGGAGAGAAAAAGGAGCACATATTGAGCTCTTACTGTGTACCGAGAGCTGCGATGGATGCCGGCCAGGGGCATGTAATGTGCGCAGTCAGACTTCCGTTTCCTATCTACTGAGCACGAGGCCAGGTACTTGTTTCAAAAGACTGAGCACTGGGCCCTGGCGGGCGGCTCAGCTGGCTGGCGCATCCTCTCGTTCTCCAAACGGCTGCGGGTTCGATCTCCGGTCAGGGCATGTACGGGAGGCGACCAACCCGTGTTTCTCTCTCACATCGACGTTTCTCTCTCTCTCCCTCCCTCTCTCTCTAAAATCAATAAAAACACATCCTCGGGCGAGGGTTAAAATAAACAAAAAGACCCAGTACTGGGTTCCTGGGTGTTTGTTGTATTATAATCTGCAGTTTTCTGTATATTTGTAATATTTAATAATGAAATATTTTTAAAAATCTGTAATCAATCCATTCTGTGGAAAATTGTGAAGCAGTTAAAGTTAGGTAGATCTAAATGTCTTCCTGTGGCTATGACTCCAAGACATGGTGTTAAGAAAGAAGGAAGGTTCCAGAAACACAGCGTGATGCTCTCCATGTTGCAGGCCAGGGTCCGACTCTGCAGACTCGCGGACGGAGGAAGCAGACCCTGGCTGCGGGAGGGGCTAACATGTCGAAGGCGTTCTGCCTCCTCCCCCGTGTTTTACAAGAAGAACGTATTTGTGAATTACGAATATAATTTAAAACGCAGTTTAAAACAACATTGTAGAAGACAAGATGCATCAGCATATTGTTAAGTAAGACAGGCCGATTAATTAACAGGATGGTCTATTTTTTAAAACACTCAATTTTATAAGAAACTTTTGCACATGTGCGTGTGAATACACACACACACACACACACACACACACACACAATCCAGATGTCCAGGCACCAAGATATTAAGAGTTTCACTTACCTGCATTTTCAGAAGTTTCTACCAGACATACATATTGTTTTATAGAAGTAAAAAAGGAAACTATGCAGAGATGTTTTAAAGAGTGACCCCCGGGGAGCGCACGTGTCTCAGGCCACCAGCCTCAGCCCCCCCTCTGCCCGCCGCCTGGCAGGTACCTGAGGGTCTTCCGCTGCATGTCTTCATCTGTGAGGCCGTGATAGACGAGAGTCTCGTTCCAGACGGGGTTCCGGGTGTTCCGCAGGGTTTTTGTCCGAAGCTTGTTGGACTAGAGCCCAGAGAGACAGACAGACAGACACCTGCCTCGATGGGGAGCCAGCCCTGCAGCCATACCCTTTGGGCTCATGTGGGGGGGGGGTTGGAGGAGTGATTTAGGAGACACTCCCCTTAGGAGTGTCCAGGGGCTCAGTTGCTGTCAAATGCACATCTCAGGGAGCCGGGGGCATCTTCTAGGGTGGTGACTAAAGCCATCAAGAGGGCTGGACACTGAGCCACCCTTCCCTCCATGCATTGGGCTCTCTGTTTCCCCAAATAGCATCCTTCATGTCTGAAATTTGTTGGGGTGGGACAAAGTTTTTCATTTTACTCTAAGAGAGAAGACTAGAAATGCACTATACTCATTAGAGGTGGCGTAGTGACAAATCTAATTCACACTAACATGTAAATGACTCACTGGATTCTTTGGCAAAGCAAGTTTGGATTTAGGAGTGAGCAAAGGAGAGAGCCATAAGGAGAAGCAAATGCCACTGGGGAGTTAGAAGAAGTGGCCAAACACTTCGGTTCGGCTGGGGCCAGGTGAGGGACTGTTGTTCCTTGATCCAAAGAAAAAGATAAAGAGTGTGTGTGTGTGTGTGTGTGTGTGTGTGTGTGCATATGCACATGTGTGTGTCCTCTGTTGTCTTAAGGGACATTTGACACTTGCAGAGATTTTTAACATGCATTTTCCCAAGATCATACAACCACAATGACTCCTGGCCCACCCCTCACCCCTTGCAAGGACTTGGCCACTCGGGGGAGGGGGCAGATAGGGCTATTTTAGGCTCTGAGCTGGGAACTGCGGGTGCCTGCCAGGGCCCCTGTGCCCGGCTTGCAAAGAGGCCCCGGCCATATGGTACCTTGCTGGCTCCCGGCAGGAGGTGCAGCTTAACATAGGGATCAGCCAAGCCGTTGGAGTCCATGGGCTTCAGTCCCTGCAAGAGGAAAGTCAGTGGTGTGAGGGCCTTGGGAGGGCCGGCGGCCACTCGGCGGTCACAGGCACTGGGCGCAGCCTCCTAACCCCGTGTCATCCCCAAGTCCCCTGGAGATGCCAGAGCAGCCCTCAAGGCCCCAGCCTGGCGCCTCACCCACCTTGGCCTTTATGATGGTGCAGTGCAGGGAGCTGTTCTCCAGGTCGTAGAGGAGGCTGAACTCCAGGGCTCCCAGGGTGGCTGTGGGGGCAGAGGCAGGAACCAAGAGAACATTCATTCAGTCATTCAACAAACCTTCCCTGAGCGCTGACTATGTGCCCTGTCTGGGCTAGGCGTTGAGCCGACGGAAGAGAGGAAGACTCTGTCCTTGCTCTGGACACCACACCCGGGCAGGCCCTCAGCCCAGGTGTATTATGTATTTTACCACAATTAAATGCTATGTGTATTTTACCACAATTCAAAAAATATATAGCACCTATTTTTTTAGATAGTTGATGTCATTTTGTGAATTTAGTAACACAAACTTGCGTCTTTATAATGCACTTACTATACGCTTACTATATTGGCTTATTGCGGGGCTGGGGGGGCTGTAAGGGCCATCCCAGGAGCCACCCTGTTTTCCTGGGGGTGATCCTGAGGGCCTTTTCCCAGACACCCCTCCCTTAAGTGCCACCTACTGGCTTCATCCGAGTCGTAGCTGTTGGCCTCTTCTCCGTCCTCCTCGGGGGCTGGGGGCTGGCG